TTACCGCAATGTTTTTGTAAAAAAAAAGTTATGTTTCAATATTAATTATTTACTTTCAAAGTGCTGTCAAAACCTCGTTATTAGCGATTCAACCTTTTGTGCAGTTGTACATGGACAAATTATTCTATTAGCTTTTCTAAAATAAAAACGGCGTTATGGGTCTATGGACCCCCCGGTCGGAACGAAGTTTTACTTTCACATGTTATAGTTTTAAGTTGTGACACTCAGTACACAATAATGGCAAAAACTCTAGCAGTTTTTATTACACTACCTGAACGTTCAAACAGATAGTCCTATAGTACAAAGATTCTAGTTAGATAACATGCCAAGTTGGTATTTTTGACCCCAAGTTCGATTGCCGCCTCATTACAAACACCTGTGCGTTCGTCGCAGTGCTGGGTAGGAAAAAATACTCGCAACGTAATATCAGCACACACGTATCGCACCAATATTCACCTAATAAATACTTTCGAATATTCACTACGTTTTTACTATTAAGTTTGCGAACTATTGATTTCGAGAAGCAGAATATTCTATGTTTCTGCCTGCTTATTGGTTATTGGCATTGGCATTACAACCAGTATAGATATGCTTTTTAAACAGACCATTAAATCTAACCCACCACAGAATAGCGTTTTATGATATCTAAAGCATTGCGTTCACAGTTGCGGTCCAGTAGAATAACAAAGAAGTTAGTTGAGATATCGGAACACTAATGGACTGCGGAATTTATGAAGCTCTCCAGAAGCTTATTGTCGCTATCAACATTCTATTGTACATACACAACGATATGTAGAAGTATTGAATCGTATGTGACAGAATTTTTGTTTTATACATTTCGTAATATAATGCCGTGAGTGAATGAACTTGGATACGAACAGAGAGCTGGGTTTATTTCCGCACAATCAATCAAGGCGACTGATGAGGGTGCAATCTGCTAGTGCAAAATCCGCACTACGTAATTTACGGAGTCAATCGATATCTGTTGTGGATATGTATGTACATTCATATTAATTCTGTTATTTTGCTCTTCGTTTAAATTGAACGTCGACATTTAACAAACAACTTTTATTCTGTTTCAAATTTACATTTTGACAATTGGAAAGTCAACGTTAACAAAAGCAAAATAACAATAATCAAATGTGTGTATTTCATTTTGACACGCTGCCGCGCTGCTTGAACGGTTTATTTATATTTTATGTTCTTAAATTTAAATTAATCATAATGAACTTGAAGTAATGTTTACCATTTCTACTGAGTAGAGACGTATTTCCAATATACATGAATGTTTAGTTATGCAAAGTTACTGTCTTCACTTGAAAGATAGAATTGGCGGAACGGAGGCAGCCTCGCTGGCCCGGTCCCGCCTTTGGCTGTAGCTATAGTTCGATGCGTACGGCCGGGCGGCGTACTCCGATGCTGCGGTATATGGCCCGTGAATAATCCTTCCGGAATGCTCGACTTAATGGTTTGGAATTAAACAATTAGTTGTTTTCTTTCTGCCTTATCAATTATGAACTCACGTTTGGATACCACTACATCTATTTGGAGAATATTTTCTTTTACATATGTGTTTTACAGACTATATAAGTCTTTTAATTTTTGCTGCCCACAAACAAAAGAGAGATAGTGAAATGGGGCAATGCCTCTAAAATTAAACGTAAGTTTCAAGTGCCGACTTTCCTTTTAGTGTCTGTTTTAGGGTGGGGCTTATTTTTTATGTCTTTTGTATTAATTCGTTTGATAAGGGAGCTCTTTGTTCATCCGCAGTGTTACGACGAGTAGCATTTTAATCAAGGCTAACGAATTTTAAACTGCGGAATTATAGAGCTGGTGCAAATTCGTCATGTCACAATGTGAGACTTACAGTTCGATGAGTTGTCTTTTTATTTTAGTAATAACTTCTAGTTTTGTGTTTATTGTGAAGACATAGAGCCGTGTTTGCCTGTATTACATGTACTATCGATACTACGAAAAAATAGAATAAATCTTCTTTGCTTTTAAAGCTTAAGATTATTTTTATAAATTATAAAGTTCACTTTTAATATTCTGCTGTAATCGTAGATACTGTTATTATTTTAACTTAAGTTGTCGTTTTAAATAATTTTGTGGCGCCTTCATAAAATAACTAGCTGACACGCGCAACTTTCTCTTAAAAGGAATAAATGTAGTAGTTTAGTAGTTCCTAAGATTACCCCGAACATACACACTCACAAACTTTACCTCTTATAATATTTTTAAAATATTGTGGGTGTTTGTTTTGATTCCAGTATCCGTTTGAAAAGTATTGATTAAGCTTCAAAGTCCCAATGTTTGTTAGAGTCAGGTACCGCTCCCAACTCCCCCTCACTCTGCCAGCTAAATGGTTGTCTGTGATAACGTGAAAAAAATCGTGGCAGTAGCATTATATATATATATATATATGTATTTATATATAATATCATAACGGAGGAGTGTGCTAAAAGGTCGTCAACTAGGCTGCTGTAATATTCGTGAACATACATATTTTGTCGGCGCTCGGGTTGCAGGTTGCAGCTCCTGTGCACCTGCGGATATTGCCGCGTAAATCAAATTTCTTATTTCGCCTCCACACTTATTACTCTCAAGGCGTGTTTCCCTTGTGTCGTGGTGTCTTCGCAAAACATTATAGTTTTATTAAAAATGTTATTCATACGACGCTGCTTCTGTGCTTTTATTATAAAATACTAATCAAATCATTAAAATTAAATTAAAAGTAAAATATTTGGCTACCTACACAATGCGCGGAATGCTACCTATGCGGAGTGACGATTTGCGCAAGATATCTGTCATGAGCCAGATGCGAGAAGCCGAAAATCGATCTAAGTGGCGTACAATGGAAGAGGCCTATGACCTGCAGTGGACTGCGATATGATGATGATTAAGAGCTTAGATTAAATTGACTTAAACTCTTGCGGAAGTATTTATTGAACTTTTCTAAGACACTTTTCACGCTCAGCCTGCGCGTGAAAAGTGTCTTAGAAAAGTTCGGTTCACTACGGTGCCCGCTCGATACACGTACTTAGGTTGTAATTTAGATAGGCTTTCAGTTTTACACGTACGAGTGCTGATTGGTGTACCACGGTTGCCCGTCCGCACCCGTACAGTTAGGTTACAATCCATAAAAATAATAATATTTGTTTGCAGAAAATGTGGTAATCACAATGATGGTGGTTTACAATGTGAAAAACACATTTAGGTAGCATGCAAATTTTTAAAATGATAAGTACAGTGTTGATGTTGATGAACACGCTCATATCTTTTTAAATAAAAACAGTTAGGTTACAGCTAGACTAGGTTAGAACTGTGACCACACAACGTACTTTTTTTTTACGTGTGTTAACCCCTTCGGGCCGTCACCCCACCGGGGTTTGCGGCAGGGTGGTGTGTCGGAATCGGACCGACTAAAACCACACGGTGTGTAACTCTGCGCCTGCAATAGAAGGGATCCGGGAACTGCTGTTTTTAAGACATCCGGATCCACCTTCGGGTACATTTTTTGTTAAGGTGACTTCCGACACACGCGGACGTAGCCTCCTCGCGCCTGGCCGTTATGGCGGGTAGAGGGGAAAACCCGTCCCATCTCAGCCATGCATGATTTTACATCTGAATGTGCTGGCGACGAATAAGTAATAATAATAATAAAGTTACACGCGTCCAGTATATACATTACCTGTCATGGTTCGTAAGTCTTGTCAATTAAGTTCAGATTACAAGTATACGGGCTTTGATTGAATCTTTTGAATTACTACTAAGTTCGAGCACAAACCGACCTCTTGTGTTAACATGTTAATAAACAATAAAATAGGAAATAACTTATATTACACAGTCACATCAAAAAAAATATAAACAGTTAAATAATTAGCAGAGGATGTAATGCACTCAGCGCGACACTATGGCATGAATAACACCTCGTAATGACTATCTCTGTGTCAATACGATTCATATTTAATGCTGCTATTCTGTGCGAAATCACCTCGTATTTGTGGTTGAGCTTGCACTGAATTAATGCATCTGCATAGGTGTCGAATGCTTTGTCATCCCGCTGGTCTACTCCATAGTTATATTTGTTTTTAGGTTATAGTAATAGGTTTTACTTATAGATCTGGAATTGGTTAGGTCTGTTAATTTTGCAAGATTTTTTTACACAATTGCAGTGTTTAAGTGTGGTATTTGTCTGTATAGCAGATGACCCGAGATCAGCGTTCTGTGGATTTCCAAGTTTTGTTTTTAATCGTTTTTATTCGAAAGAAAATAGCATTTAGTTTTTATTATAATAATTTTTACCCTGTGATAACGTATATACTTCTCAAAGATAAGATATGAATTCTTTATAATTACTAGTTTAGTAAACTAAATGATATCACTTTTATTATTTCTACTACAAATATTGTCAAGATTTTCGTTTCAAAGTGATAACACTCATCTTACGGACCCTTGCAAATTAATTGCAAGAATGACACAGCACAACGCTGAGCTCTCTTAATGCATACTCACAAAGCAAAACGGCTTGGGCGGTACACCTAGCGGCAAGCAGCAGCGGTGATTATGATAATGATGCGGCAGTCGCGCTTTTTGCGTCGCTCGCCCTATATTACGAAACTCGACACTATTTCTGGGACAGCTCGTGTGCCCGCAACCTCAGCAGCGCATCGTGCTGCTTGCATTTATTTTGTCTTAGCATTTCGCTGTTCGCTCGAGCCTCTGATGTACTTATAAATTATGTAAGTCGCTATAATCCACGCCCTAAACGCCTTCTCCGCCGCCTCAATTATTCATTTGAGCGGTTTGATGTTTTAGAAAATTGTCGCGATACTCGAGACGAGCTGTGCTTTATAATTCAGGAGTTGAATATCGTCGCAGCTGCTACTAGCACCGAATCGAGTCATTTCGCTTTACAGATTAAAGTGCATAGTGACCTAATTTGTTCACACATGACACGTGTCTTGGAAAATTTGAATGAAAACTTTTTTCTTTTATAGGATTCAGAAGGTGACACACCTCTGCATGATGCCATTTCTAAGAAGCGCGACGATATGTTAACCCTACTATTAGAGCACGGAGCTGACATGACTCTTACAAATAACAATGGGTTCAACGCTCTTCACCATGCTGCTTTACGTGGCAATCCAAGGTAAGATAAAACTTTTAAAATTTTGCAATGAATAAAAACTTTTAAGAGCTTAAAATAACAGTTTTCAGAATCTTATTCATGCAGGGTTAGGTATATTCACTGTACCTACATTAATCGGAAGATTTCATTTGATTAAGTCGATAATCTTTAAAACGAGGTAATTTATTGGAACGGAGTACTTTATGCGACGATGTGGCGAGACGGATTTTATGAGAAAAAGCGTACGTTACGAAAAAGCGTTAGGCGCTATCTCCCTCGCTCTGCAGGCAGTGATTGTGAATGCGAGAGAGACAAAGTAATCCATCTATTTTCTTTGAGCATTTTTATTTAATAACTCGAGAACGACGCATCTATGATTAAGACATGATGCGTATGATTTTTAGAGAATTTGATGAGCAATAAAATGAGACCAGTCTTGTTTCTCTACAATCAATAGTATTCGAGTTATTCATTTTTTTAATAAAAAAAGATAGCTGCTTTTCTTTATACAACAAGCTGTAGTTCATTAGCATTTTTTTTTGTTTAGATATAAAAAAAATACGCAAATTATTATTTTCAAAAATATCTTTCCCAAAACTTATAAAGGAAATGTTTGTCAAATAGCATACGGAACTTAGTTTCTATCGGGTGTCCCACCACAGCACACGGCTTTTTTTATTTATAAGGCATTAGTGTAACATTAGTTAAGTAAAGTAACTTACTTAGTAAAGTAACCAAAACATTTTCTCTTAATAACCTTTTCTAAAAAAAACAGTGTGACGATAATTGATTGTAATTTGAGATGCTTGTATAAAGAAAATATTCGGACATACTTATCTACGGAGACCTTTATAACATGGACTTTGTCTGAAATAAACATAACGTCGCTTGTTGTCCGACATTATCCCTCGGAGAATGGGTAGTTATGAGCGAGCCTGCCGCACAATAAACTGCTTACACGTCTAATACCGCGGTCAGAGAGGATGTGTTGCCTACGCCTTGTGTGATGTCTTTATTGCTCGGTAACATTTCAGCAAGTTTTATCACTAATGGATATAAACTGTTATATTGTTACTTTCAGAACTACTTGAGTTATTCCAAACCGCAAAAAGTATACAGTTTTTTTTACTGCACAAATTCTACACCATTTTAGTTGAGGTAGTGCCTTAACGGTTTTCTCTGTAGAAAAATATTTTGTAGTGTTTAACGTAGTTCATGTAAAAGTGCGGTTGTATTGTAAGAGTTTACTTGTTTATCTTCATTCATTTCCTTTGTACTAATGTTGAAAAAAAAAAAAACGTCGCGAGCAAAAGGCTCCTTGCATTAAATTGACAGTTGAATACTTTGCTGTTATTTAAGTTATAGTATTTTATATAGTAACTATGTTTTTTAATGCCAAACTATATGTTTTTAGTAACAAATATCTAGATTATTTTTCATAACCTTTCAATTTAATCTGTCACCTCTAATCTAATTTATCAAGTTACACTTATATTGACAAGAGAGTAATCTACATTATTACAACTGACCGTTTTGTTTTTTTTCTTGCTATACTCGTATATAAATTGTTGTGATGATGGTGAATACAAACCAAAATATAACATCTAAATGGATCACATCTATTATATTAAATTAAAAAAATATTAATATAATTTAAAAAATCAATATAATCTAATGATAATTATAATAAATATCGTTAGACGAAAACGCTGACGAAATCTTAATATGTTGCAGTACACAGGTTTATAGTTAAGAACGTAAAACATCTTTTTACCTTCGTTCATTTCTCTGGCCTCTCCGGTACTCTATTAACTATTTCATGAACAGGGCCTATGAGCCATTTGCTCTTTAAAACATTGTGAACAAACAAACATACTTTTGTATGATTTTATAGTACATAAAACATACTAAAAAGTTTAAATAAAAAATGTAAGATTAGATTTTAGGTGTCACGTTTTTATTACTTTTCATGAACTTTATTTATATTATTACTAGTTGACCCGTGCAACTTGTCTGCGCATCTAAAAGTAATAAATTTGCCTCGTTTTAAAACCTTTTTCATTGATGCTCAGCTCATATAGGTTGTAGCATAATGTGATATAGATTTCCTAAATCAATTTGCTATCCATTGTTAATAGGCTAACGTGTTAATTCTTGATAAAGACCCTAAAAGTATGAGCGATGGCTTAATCGATTCGGAATGACGTCTAGAAAAATGTATTTATTTTATTAACAAATTAAGATGAAAAAAGATAGCAATTCGTTTTTTATTAATAACTCAAAAATTATATTATTAACATTTAAGAAATGTTGAAGAAAGATCCTTAAAGAAAAGGAAATTGCCAAGAAAAAGGTTCCGACTCCCGGAACTATATCTCTGTTATTTATAGTTGACTAGCATATAAAAGAATTGTGTGTAGTTTTATAAATATTTAAAAAAAGTGAATCTATCACTCTTTTATTTGCAACAATGGATGTTCGCGGGAAGCTTTTCGTGCTACGATATTTTATGATTATATACGAGGGATAACCTTCAAAAAATGTCACAAAAATTTACAAGTTGCCTTTGGGGAGTTAGCTCCTACGTTAGCAACAGTGACTTGGTTTGGTTTCGTGAATTTAAACGTGTTCGAGAGAACCTAAACAATGACCCCAGACCTGCCCGACCTACAACTGCAGTAACTTATGAAAATGTCAACAGGGTAGAGTGGCTATTGCTGGAGAATAGACAGCTTATACATCGTGAGATTTAGGCTGAACTGAAGATTGGATCTCAGGTACCATCCACCATTCTGCATGAACATCTTAAAGTTCGGCAGCTTGCTTCGCGATGGATACCTCATTCTCGCTCTAAAGAGCACTAATGATGTAGTGTTGATTGGTGCAAAATTTACATTCATTAGGATTTGTCTGCGGCTTCGCTCGGCTTTTCTTCTTACTTAGTTTTTTTTTAACTTTAAAAAAATCAAAATGGAAATGTGATGTACGTACGGTTACAAGAACATTTCCACCGAGACGACCGGATGGCGTAGTGGTTTGTGTAACGGACTGTTATTCCAAAGGTCGCGGTCGTACCCATAGCACAAGCTCTGCTAAGTTTGGGTCTAGAAGGCGTTGTGTGAACGTGGCAGAATATTATATTATATTATTACACTTTTAACGGAGTGTACTTTACTCTTTACATGTCATGTCAATTCCTTAGATTATATTCCTCAAATACTTCCAGTAATATTGCATATGTGAAAATTCTCTAAAATACATTTATGAGCAGACATTTTTCAAAATTGTGCGTCTATAAACGTTGGGTCAAGTTATATCCCGATCAACCCAAAGAAATGATTACTTCGTTTTGTACGGACGTTTTATATAAAAGATAACTACTCTATGTACATCTGACAATATATTTCTATCGAAAAACCAAGGAGCCCGTAACAGTGGTCATATAAAATTGATCCATGAAAAAGAAAAGTTTGGTAATGTATTATGAATCGGTAAGAGTTAGAATAATGAATCTCCGCTGCCGAATCGTGCGTAAAGCGGTTTATTTGTGGAGGGTCCAAGGAGACGTTGGAGCGACGGAGGCCCGCGCTACGACCGCCCACATTTATTCAAGTCACGTGACGTGTCCCAGGGAAATAATACGAAATGTGGCTACGTGACCAGTTCATTATGCGGCGGCACAGTACGGAGCCCTCGCAGTCACCTTGCCCACCGTTGGACACTTTTTCGTATGTCCGCCGGTGTCGCATATTACAAACAACTGAACGTGTCGCGACGCAAGAACCCTCTGGAATTCTTTTAAAAATCACTGATCGGCTATGATTTTGAAAAGAATTCGCACCTTTAATAATAAACTGAATTAATTCAAAATTTACGTTTTTCGAGTTTTCAACAAATACCAAATCAACTTCATCAGTAGAACACGAACAATCCAACAGCCGACTCGATACCATGAAAATGGCAGAGATAAGAGATCGTCGTTCTCTTTTTGACGAACTCGCACGTACATGAATGTCAAACTTTAAATGCGATTTCCCACAATATTGAAATTCTAAGTTAATTCAGTTTATGAATAAAGGTGCGAATTGTACGGGTGGCTGGGTTCATTTGAAAAAAATAATTGACTAGAAATACTCGTCACCACCTTTGAACCTTTTTTAAAAGGAGTTTAACAGCTTTTTCACGATAAAAAACATTTAGACGTTATCAATTGTACAATTTCGGTGTCGTACATACAAATAGTTGTTACTTTTTATAGAAAGATAATTTCTTGAGCACGCTGCAATCTACTTTTGATTCATCACACATCACATCAACAGCCTTTAATAGTCCACTGCTGGACTTGGGCCTCTCCTTAGGAAGGAGGTTTTGACCTACTATGCTACGCTTGTTACAAGTTACGCGGTTGGTATAATGATGGCCCGAGCCCTCGACTACATGTCGGACCACCTCAGGGAGGTGTTGGACGCTAGCCTGGCGTCCGGACGCTTCCCTGAGCGCTGGAAGTGCGGGAAGCTGGTCCTGCTACAGAAGCCGGGACGGCCTGCCGATTCGGTCGCGGCCTGTCGGACGCCCAATTCGGTTTCCGGGAGGGGCGTTCGACGATCGATGCCGTAATGCACCTTAGGGCCGTGACCGAGGAGGCCGTGAGCTGCGGCGGAGTGGTGTTGGCGGTGTCCTTGGACATCGCCAACGCCTTCAATAGTCTGCCATTCAGCTGCATCAGGGAAGCGCTCCGCTACCACGGAGTGCCAGAGTACCTGAGGCGGCTGGTGGCAGACTATCTTGAGGAGCGAACCGTCATGTACTACGAGGACCGAGATGGCGTCTTGAGACGCAGGGCCATGTCGTGCGGTGTTCCGCAGGGGTCTGTCCTAGGACCACTCATGTGGAACATTGGATACGACTGGGCCCTACGAGGGCGTCTCCCCCCTGGGCTGGGTGTACTCTGCTACGCAGATGACACTTTAGTCACGGCCCGAGGGGCTGAATTCCAGGAGGCGGCGCGCCTGGCCGCCACGGGAGTTTCCAGGTGGTCGGGCGCATTGAGCCGTTGGGTTTGCGGGTAGTCCTGGATAAGACGAAGGTTTACTATTCCATGGGCCCCGTTGTGGTCCACTCGCTGGCGCCTCAATCGAGGTAAGCTCGGTCCTTGTACCGGTCCGGGCCCAGATGAGGTACCTGGGTCTGGTCCTGGACGGTAGGTGGCTCTTCGACGAGCACTTCCGACAGCTTGGTCCAAAGTTGGTGGATACTGCCTCCGCCCGAGGGCGACTTTTGCCCAATTTAGGCGGGGCCAGTGTTCCCACGAGGCGGCTGTACGCGGGGGTTGTCCGGTCCATGGCGCTGTATGGTGCGGCGGTGTGGGTGGCGGCTCTGACCGCCCCAAATAGGGCGCGCCTCTGGCGCCCCAGAGGATATTGGTGGTCAGAGCCCTACGCGGATACGGCACCACCGAGGCGGCTTGCGCCTTGGCCGGAACACCCCCGTGGGATTTAGAGGCGGAAGTGCTCGCCGAAGTCTATCGCCGAGTGGCTGACTTCCAGGCGGAGAGCGGATTTCTGTTTCGAGACTGAGACTTCTTCCGAGAGAGTTCCAATCGTCACAATATGAATTTTCTCGATTATATAAGCCCCGTGTATTATTAGTTTATGTAAAATCGACGACATGTAGTACCAGTCGTATAATTCCACGTGCTTTTCTGCTGTTATCTGGCAAAATCTTAAAATTTAATTATGTCGATCTTCTCGTAAGATGTTATCGCTTGGAAAATCACAGCAAATCTTTTAATTAGCTCTTCATCCAACCCTGTAATAGCTGCAGTTTTATTGGGTAACTCGAAAAACTTTCTTACAATTTTATCGTCATTGGTAGTACCCGAGCCTTGTTTCACTGTATCAATCAATCAACAGATTGAGCTCATCATAATCTTTTTTAAATATTTTGTATAATTGTATTTATGGTACTTAAACAATATCATCGCTAATAGCTATCGCTAAACTCTGTATCAAATGATAAAAAAAACAAAAAGCAATTTTTTACTTTCTTTTTTAAATATTCTTAATATTTGCGTCACTAACATTTTTTTTTGGTAAATAAAGTTTATTATTAATGCACTATGACGAAAAATTATAAATAAATAATTAGTAGATACATTAACTATCTGTGAGAATATTACGGTTTTCCTTGCCGTTTAAGAGAGCATTTGGCTCAGTACTACACGAGCTCAGGTTATTTGCCTTGAAATGGTATAACTTACTACGTAAATTAAAAATTGGAATTACAGCAAAAGAGGGACATACAAAAACCCTCGAATACAGAGTAGGGTTGTTCCAAGGTTTCTGCTTATCACCCGTAGTATTTAATACAGTTATAAATATATTAATAGACAATATCGCAACATACGAAAAGATGAGGGGCTACCGGTTTAAGGTCAATGGAAAACTTGACACAAACCCTATACCAACCCGTCTGGCCAGCATGGTATAGTAGGCTAAAACCTGGTTTCTAAGGAGAGGCCTATGTCCAGCAGTGGACTGTTAAAGGCTGATGATGATGATGATAATGGAAAATATACGGAATGCATCTTAGCATTCGCAGTCGACCTTGGGATCCTCACACGTAACCCGAAGCAGTGCCAAGAAGTACTGCTTAAGGTAGATGACTTCTGTACCTGGACGGAGGGAATGAGGTAAATACCTAGCAAATGCTATTGCTTCTGTTGGGCCGGCGACGTACCAGATATACCTCAAATGACCCCGAGATTACTATTGGTGGGGAAAGTGTTTCAATAATATCAGAAACCGTGCCCTTTAAATTCCTTGGAAGAAAGATAGGCTACAAAGTTCGAACTCCATCTATGAACGCAATAGTCGATGATTTCGTAAAAGACATTTGACAAGGTAGACCAAAAGCCAATAAGTAACGTAAAAAAAAGCTTGGATTTACGACGACTACTTAACATCGCGTCTCAACTGTCCGTTTCTGGTATACTATATAAACCAAAACTACTTAAGAACACTGAATGCGAAAGTCACTTAGATCCCTTCCAAAAGACAAAAATTGATCAAAGCTCGAGTCACGGCTCGAATTCCACAAGAAATTCATGGTGGGTACGCAGTTCAGTAGAGTTGGATTGGGAAATGCTAGAAGATAGACCTACAAAGAGATAACAAAATTAAACGAGTCTTACAAGGTCTACGCAATGAATGAAAAAAAGGGATAACAACAAACATAAGTACTAACATTGAGTTTGTAAAGGAACGCTCACAAACCGCTAGCTCACCCGTTTCTCTCTAGCTAATGAGTCGCTGTTTCTCGCTCGTACCTGTCGCTGAAGAAGCATCAAGGAATAATAACCTCACACATCTTACACAGAGCTGTCTGATCCCAAACTAGATAGTACCAAATCTGTACTATTGTATCCCATGATACGAGGATCACCAGACCAACAGGTTGTCAAATACAATAGCAGTTCATCCTTCCTCAAATCTAGAGTTGCCTATAACGAAAGAGTGCTAACATATTCTGTTCCCGCTCAAGTCAAGCATTGGTGTGCATAATTATTTAATGTTTGATTTAGTCCGGGTTTTTCTGTATATAATATGTATGTATTTACAAAAAAAAGTATATATGTATTAATATCAGTTGTCTAGCACCCATAGTACAAGCTCTGCTTAGTTTGGGACTAGACGGCGTTGTGTGAATGTGGTAGAATATTATTATTATTATTCTCTTTATTTACTTTATTAAATATTATTTACATTTTTAAACATACACTTAATTAAAAAATATTAAAAAATACATATTTAAAAATATAAAAAAATAATGGACCACCGACATCGGTTACAGGGACCAAGACACCGGTGGTTAGGACTCCAAAGATAGGAACCTCCTCACTATACGAGCCGTGTCAAGACCAGACCCTTGATCCAGCCGTCCAACGTGAGCCTCTTAAGGCGTTGGTCGCGGCTCTTGGCTTTCAATCCGTGTGCAAATACGACTATCGCAACAATGATCACTAAACCAACATTCCGCATATCGACAATCTCGTGAGATAAATCCAAATATTTGATTTCTTTTTCTTTTTCAACTTTTACGAGATCCTCGTCATGAGGAACGGCGATATCAACAATCATTGCGCGGTGCTCTAATCGATCTATCACCACAATATCTGGCTTATTGGCAGCAATAGTCCTGTCTGTGATAATAGATCGATCCTAATACAACGTGGCCCGACCATTCTCGAGAGCTTGGTCGGGCACATACCTGTAGTATGGCACCTCTAGATTCACAAGAGGGTATTTAGGGGAAAGCTGTTGGTGTACGATCCTATTATTATTATATCCGTCATGGACCGTCTCCTTTTATTAAATACAATGTTTTAATTTATTTTATCAAAGACTTCAAGTAACCTTCTGAAAATAAGTTTTTTTTCTCTTCAGATTGTTGTTTAACGTAAAGTAATCGAATAGAAGATTGTCGTAAAATGTTCCTGATTTTATCGCAGAATGAGAAGTCGCTCGCAAGTTTTCCCATTCGACAAAAACGTTCGTTTCCCCCTGGAGATGTAAAATCGTTTTATTTTATTACTTCCGCCAGTATATCGTTATATCAGAAGCACCCGTCCTCCTAGGTTCGGAAACTTCTTTACAGTATTAAACTCAACTTAGTACTAAACGATACTAAATTTACTTCTAAAGGCAAAATACTTCTAGTAAATTAAACTGTGTTTATCGTTGCTGGTATCATCTGCAAGTAATTACAAGTTATTACAAATTTTATCAAGATTCATATTACGAATAACAATCGTAGTTGTATAATTAGCAAACGATATAGCTTGAATTTAACAAGGCATGGCAACATAAAGGGTGGCGATAGAGACGAGGCTGTGTTATTACGGCTGATTAGAAACAGTTATCTTTTGCGGCTATCGTTACAATTGTACTAACGAGCCCTTGTAAAACTTCTACATTACGAGTATTATGACACATTACAGTAACGCGATAAATACTGGGTTAATCCACAGTGTATTTATTTGTGTTCATGCGGATGTTTTTCTGTTCTGCATGAAATATCGATGTCATTTATTATGTCACCCATTTTTGTTATTATTTTTTAAACAGTGATATTCCTTTACTTTAGTGTTGCAGAAAAGATAATATTTACTATATTTTTAAAACCTTTGATGAAGAACGAAAAGTATAACATTAACATGCATATTAAAATTGTTAGATGTACGCAGATAAATATTTCTAAATACCTGGTATAACTTCTTTCCAAGTTGGATCTAAGAATACGAGTGATTAATATGATGTAGCGATCGAGCCATTATCGACAAAGTGAACATCTGCGATTGTTGCGGTTCGGTACCCATTCGATAAGACGCTCATTCGCGCCAAACATTAATCGTGAGCTTAAATATTTTAACGCGTCGTAACATTGATTTATTCGGAGCGTAATCTCAGCTCGCGGCTTGTTTGTTCTTCGGCTCAGGACGTATAGGTATGATTACGCCGCGCGCCCTCAATCCGTGACGTACCAGCCTCCTAGACTCTCCCTTGCTGTAATTTTGTTATTTGTTATCATTAATAGGGATTAGCTACCTAAGGTTCCATTTCCTTAACGCTTTATCGATACCATAATATTATGCAATAGTAGTGTATTAAATAAAGTCTGTTAACACAAAACCTATGAAGAATATAGAACAAACAGAATAGTCTGAGAAGATTTATATGGTCATTTTGTAGCGTTAATTGCAGTGAGTAAAGCGAAGTGCGATGGTATCATACTATCTGAACGAGAAATGTAATGCCGCCCCGTAGTCTGAAGCTTATGAAAATAATAATACGTGGGATGTAAACACGTAAACTGAACTGAACGTAAAATCCTATTTCAAATAGTAACAATGAATTAAATTGATAAAATATATCTTTGATCGCGTGCTATCTTTTGAGTATATACCAACATAAAAGTGGTTATCTGTTCAAGTTTAGATAGGTAAAAGGAAGCGTGTGATGGACAGCTGAGTTAAACTGAATTGAAACAGGGGTACACTGTCATTAAAAAATTTTTTGGCAAAGATATCGACTTTGTTCGTCAAACGACTGGCCGGCAGCGAAGCACATTTCAGTATGGCAGATTTATGAGAACCGACCGACGGCTATACAGGCATAGGGAGGCTTATAACTAGGAGGGACTGTGGAGAAGGGTCGGGGCGGTTGCGGGAGGCTCTGTTATTGTGCGACGTTTGATTTACGCACGTACCGCTATCACCCTTTTGTTAGGCCGGATACCGACTGCTGTGCCAGTTCCGGTGGCCCAAATGCAACCTCTCTGTTGATGTTCATCTCCCTTCCCCCCCATGTGCTTACTATGATTTTAGACTTTAACGTTTTTAATTAAATTATTAACATTTTTTACCCAAACATTTTCATAAATATTCATTTTACGCCGGTAAGCTCTAGGCTATAAATATGCATGTCTCAAAGGCTCATATGATTTCATATTTCGTACCACAAATTATATTGTAATGAATGAGGTTTGTAATACTTCCCTTTCTTTTTGTCTGAAAAAGATAACTACCGCGATATCAATATATCTTGTATCGCGGGGGACATAACAGACATACATGAAACAGACACTAAGAACACCCAGGCTCAGAACAACAATGTGTGGATCACACAAAGTGTTATTCCCCGTGGGAATCGAACCAACAACACTCAACTCAGTAGGAAACATCGAGGTGACCGCTTAAACCACTACGCCATCTGTGCAGTCGACTTTATTTTGTATGTTTAGAGAAAACATAGTGATAATATATTTACGTTAATTGTGTTATACAATTGTACGTGCATTGAAATGTTTAACTGATTCTAGTACACCAATGCACCTATATCAGTGTACTGTATCGTATGGGCGGGCGGGGCGCAGGCGTGTGGTGCAGGGTGCTCGGCGGTTGGCTCGTCGTTACCCGCAATTAGCGGCTCTGCACACGCGGATAATCCGAGCGCTCGCACCGCTCGCACTGTGCCATACCACCACCCGAAGCCCGCACACGATTGCACTACGGATTCAGCGAATAAATTCATTTGTACGCAAATTGTATCGGCGCTTGCAATTAAAACTTTGTTGGCGCTTCGAGCTAAGATAAATAACACTAATACATTCTACTTATTGCGGAAAGTTGCCGGATACAGAGGATATATTAATGTTGTTCATAATTTGTTTGGGCGGATTAACCTTGTTGGTCGCTAAACTTATTTAACAATAGTCCCGTTGTCCCATATCACACATTTAAAGTTACGGTTAAATTATCTGACCAGTACAAATGCTCAAATGATTAGTCGTATGTGGGCGTATCTTTAATAATAAATCCGTGACTAGTTGCTGGACAACGTGCATCCTATACTGGTTTATCTAGAGATTTTAAATTCGAAAATATTTCTTGAATGCATGCACTCCAGCACCAAAGATTCTGTTTAAATTTAAGCCCTATACCTACCTGCCTCTATTACTTAAGGCATACTGAAAGTTTCTGGATTCTGATAAATAAGACTAGATATAAGACTTAAGATACATTTATTATTTTCAAAGAAAATTCCCTCGCAATTAATGCATGTTTGCATTCGCTGAAACCACTGTATTATTAAAGGTAACGTACACACACACGTATAACGTGCGTGTCACACGCGGTATCCATCGAGTGCAAAGTTTCCGAACCTTCAGATGCACATGTAAAATGTTTTGCACTTGGCTCATTAATAAGTCAGCAGGCTCATTAGGTATTTTTTTTGTCAGTTTCAATAAGTTGTCGTACAGTGTCAATATTAGAGTCTGTAGTGTAACCGCAGTCGCCAGCCGACTTTCACGTACCTCGTCATGGAGATGATCACACACACGTCTAAATTCTCCAAACCACGGATACACAGAGCTGTGACATTGTGCTCCATCACCAAATGGCAATTAAAGTCTCTGGCAACTCTCTTGTTGACTTAAGCCGCAGCGAAAATCATTAAAGACATTTAACGAAAATGTTCACGAGTTAAATTTATTTTGATTGATTCGAAAATTGTGAATTCACAATAAAAACAAATGACAGTCTCGCAAATTAAAAAGTAACATATTCCCTAAGAGTTCTATTTTCGAATTCCATAATTGTTTTTTCATTATTTTATTTTAAGTGGCCAGATCCAGAGACTCAGTATTCCCCACGTATTTAACCCTATTTACGTATGAGCTTCCTTTGGCGTGCCCTAGAGCCTTCAGTGGTTTCATGGCTTTAATTTTTTTTTTATGTGGAGTTATTTAAATGGACTTTACAGCTGAGAGTGACAGGGTACAATATTTCAGGAAGTCGTGCTCAAATAACATTAAATTTCGTTAAACATATAGGTCAACATTTATGTATGATTCTGGAAAACTGACAGGTGTGGTCACAAGTTTCTATTTCGGACCACATCTGCGACTTATAAAGTTTTTTTTTGCCCAGAGATGAGAGTAGTACTCTTACTGTTCTCATCCTGAGCAAGAGCTTCCCATTAGGCACTTTTTGCCTCGTACCACTAAAATTTGAACAAATTGCCACCTGTGGTTTATCCGGAGCGATACCTCATGAAAACCTGCAAGAAAAGAACATTTTCCCTCCTCAAGCAACCTCACTTCACTTGTGACTCATGAGCGGTGGCATTTATGTCATAAAAACCCTACTACTACTACACTCACACGCACTTACACCACCTACGTCAATATAATGAAGCGATCTATGGATTTGCAAAGTTTACATAAAACTTCTTTTGCGATTACTCTGCGTACTTGCGCAGAGTTGCAATGTTTCATTGCCGCAAGTTAAGTTTGGAAATGCGGGTGTCACTGGAGCTCTATGTACAGTCTACAAACGTGCCACTTATCACTAGATAGAAAATCTTCAACTGCATACCGATGTGCGATTTAGAGTTCCCTCGGTTCAGATTTTTACTCAAGGGTTTGACGTCGTGCAACTTCAATTATTTATGAAGTTGTATGCATTAAAAGCAGTGAGAACAATCCTGTAAGTAGTCTCATAGAAGGTTTTGTCAACGCGATCTGTCTCTTTGTGTACTTTCGCATTGTTCCACTAATGTCGTTAGTGCACTTTTACAGCGACTACGCTAATTTAAATACCTCTTCTTTCTTTTGTGAAGCGACTCGTCTTCCGTTTTCCGCGAGTGGCGGGCTCTCTTTGCGTTTGAAAAGTTCGCGTTGGAAGACTGCATTTAAATGAGACACTTAATCACCCGAGTTGGCCTCGCATTTCTTAGAGTCGTTTGTTCTCTTCATTCATTACACCCTTTCTATAGATTTATAAGGGCCAGAGATTTCATTACTTGACCATCTAATTTTCTATTTTAATTAACCCAAAACTTTTGTAATGAATTTTGAAACTTTTTACTTTATTATTATGAACTGAAATTAAAAGAAAATAAAAGTATAGTAAGATGAACTTGAATTATATTCGAAAGAAGAACGTAGGTAGTTTGCTGTCGGGTGACAAGACCGCTAACACCCACTCGAATTGTGTAAATATGAGTAAGGTAATAAACTCTTGGCGAGCGGCGTGCTTGGATTTGCTTGGAGTTCGGTACGTGCGCCTCCCCATGGCCCCCGCTGTCGCGTTTCGCAGCGATACTGCGCTACTTATTTTGCCTTATGCCTTGACATATCAAATATTAATCGTTTAAAGTATTGTGTTTCAAGTACCACAACTGCCTAAATGTTTTATCAATTTAAAATTTGCTCGTTCATCACACAAAAAAAAAAAATCCTTAAGTGAAAAAACTATTTTAGGGATTATGTGGTAGGTATATCATTTTGCAGACTATGTCAAGGTAACCAGATTAATTACGTCGCCGTAAATTTTAAATGTTACTAGTTTGCCTATGTAATAAATACCATTATAAATACAAACGCTATTTCACTTGAAAGTTGAAAACAAATTCTAAATTCGACGACCGAATGGTGTAGTGGTTTGTGTAACGGACTGCTATTCCAAAGGTTGTGGGTTCGATTCCCGCTCGAGTCAAACATTTGTGTGCATGAACATTTAATGTTTGATTTGGTCTGGGTGTTTCTATGTATATTAAGTATGTATTTACAAAAAAAAGTATATATGTATTTATATCAGTTGTCTAGTACCCATAGTATGTACAAGCTCTGCTTAGTTTGGGACTAGATGGCGTTGTGTGAATGTGGTACAATATTATTTATTTATTTATTAAATTTTAAAAGACTATTTGAGAACTAAAACATTTTCAGCTATATTATTAATCCTTTAGGTAGCAAGTGTTTATATCGAATATTTGTTTAAAAGTTGTGAATCGATACAGTCTGTGCATTTTGGTTTTACTCGCATTTCGTTGCGTTTTACAGTAAAAGGCAGTATTTGTAGGTATATGTTAAGGGAAGCATTGTATAGTAGTAGTATAAGTAAAGAAAATTTAGGCTTAACTTAACTTAAAAGCGGTACCCATCTAAAATCTCTCGTGAAATAGTGATGTATATGGAAGCGGTAGCTCGCCTCGTTTAATTTTCATGCAGGTATATTATTTACTACCCAAATTCGGTTTGGTTTTGTCAAGGATAAGCTCCGAACTATAGTTGCAAAATGGTCCATATAAGTCCTTTTTAAACCATCGTTATATTGCACGCGAGGCCCCGTATTAATATGTTTACTAAGCTGAGTGGATCATGGCGTCCGTGGCTTTCGCAGCCGTAGCCTATGATGCATGGTGTGGCCTGGTGGCAGAGCTCACTTAATGAAATATTTGCCGCGTGAGTGAAACAGACACAATCATCAATCACAGGTGGTGTCTATGTGCCGACCATCTGCAACCATCTAGGTTAACTGTAAGGGGTACTGATACTAGAGCTAATAAGTTATAATCTTAATCTTATTAATGTTAACTTTTTTTCTGAAAGGCTTTTTCAATCCATTCTTTATATTAATATCGAGCAACGAAAGATGCTTAAAATTATTGTGTTGTTCCAACCTTACCTCTAGATATTCTTTTTCATAGTTATACTAAGTAGGAATAACAGGAAGTATGAAAAAAAAGTATATTTGTAGAATATTTAAGTCCTGTTTTATGATTAATCGATAACAACGGAAAGATAACTAACGTTTGTGAAGTATTAGATCTAATCAGTTAACTAAAAAGACTATATAAAACGGTAAACGGGTAAAACGGGACCCTAATACTAAGCCTCCGCTGTCCGTCTGCCTGTCTGTCCGTCTGTCACCAGGAACCGTGATAGTTAGACAGTTGAATTTTTTACAGATGATGTATTTCTGTTGACGCTATACATACTAACATACATACATAACTAACAACAAAAACTAAAAACGTTATAAAATGAATATTTAAGGGGGCAATCATACAACAAACGTGATTTTTAACCGACATCCAAAACACAAAAGAGGAGGTTCTCAATTCGTCTGTATTTTTTTTTTATTTTTTTTTTATGTGTGTTTGTTACGCGATTTCTCCGTCAATTGCGGACCGATTTTCAAAATTCTTTTTGTAATCGAAAGGGTATGCTCCCGAATTGGTCCCATTACCACCAATTCGGGATCCTAGAGTAATCGAGGGAAACCCTCACAATTATTGGGAATTTGACAGCCTCGACAACGTGTTTTAGCTACGAGTATTTCTTTAGCCAAAAAAACCATGGCAACCGTCAGAGACTGCGCGATGTGATGCGCAGAGAACTTGCAGTATTTATGTCACCACAGTAATTTTCGTTGTATTAAGAAGAAAAGGTTGAAATTTTGTATTCTATCTTGTTAAAATAATTCGGATAGACGTTTTGTTGCTATGGATGGCATCGCATTTCGTTTGTAAGTAATTTTATACTTAATTTATTAAAATAGTGCTGGAAAAAACTCTTAAATTTTGTGTGGGTCAACTAGGTTAATTTCTAACATACCAGTATTAACCCTTCTAGTTGGAACTCCTTCTATAAAATATTGAGCATATTTGTTGAGTAGTCTCACTAAAGCTTCCCTATCTTCACCTTCGAGATCAGTGTCAATAGAATCGGAAGTTATTTTGTT